CAACCGGATCAACCGCCGGTTGAACCGGCCAACCGGGAAACCGCCGGTTGACCCGGCCAACCGAGAAACCGCCGGCTGAACCGGAGGTTTCCCGGTTGCCCGGTTCAACCGGCCAACCGACCAACCGGGCAACCGGGACAACCGGCAACCGGACACATCCGGTTGAACCGACTCGTCTCGGTTAGTCGGCCGGCCGGATACTCTCATTTCGCATGTGTCCTCCATCAGGCTTCATTTGCTTCATTTGCAGTGTTAGGTCTTCAAGTCTGAACTTTACCCGTTTGTGTTGCTTTGCATTTGCGTCAATCTCATTTTTCTCGGATGGCTTCAACTCTGCTTTGAATTTAAGGTTGCAAAGTGAACAACTTGGCTTTGAGGATCTTTCGTGTTTTAGACATGTAAATCAAACAACCAAGAGAAAATATGCTTTTGCTGAAACTCAAGAGTATTTGTGTTTTTCTTCGTTTTTATGGCTGTGACAAACAACATGACATAAGATACACACATATTCGTGTACGGATTAGTCATTCATTACCAGACAGTCTCTCAAGCCCTTACTTACTTAAGTAGGAACCATGTGCAAAAAAAAAGGAATATATACGTTCATGATTTTCTTTTTTTATAACCTTTTTCCAACAAAGGGAATCGTTTTCGTTTTGTTTGTTTGTTTGGTGTATGTATAATTCTTTTGGGGTCCCACCTGCGCGCTTCCCAGGCGCTCCCTCCCCACCTTCGGGAGGCGTGGAGGGGAGAGAGCCGTCGGCGGTAGGTCCGAGGTACCACCGGGCCATCGAAGGGAAAACGACGATGTTCGTAGCGTCCGACCGCTCCGTTCGTGAAAAGCAGCAAGAATCTTTTTCCTAGAAGCGTACTAGTAGCTTCTTGTTACTACTAGTAAGGCACTTGTTACTAGAAGCGATGCACTTGTTCAGGAAGTGTCTAGTGGCAAATGTGAGAGGTTCAGCAAGGATGCTCTTCAGAACGGGTGTTTTCGACACAGATCCCATGCAGATTTCTACCCAAGCACTGCTTTCAAGCTTAGGTCGCAAGGGTGCACGAGAAAATGACAAGTCTGAAAGTCCCAAAGGATGAGACATTCTGAACGACACAACGACTCATGATGCTTGCCTTACGGAGACTTAAGAAGTTGTGCCAAACCAATCCCTCTTTAGCGTTCTCAAAACGAGCGAATTGGTGAATTGCTTGGTGAATTGCTTCTTTCCAGGTCGCCATCCGAGCCACGGGCACTCCCCACTTTTGGCAGGCAAGACTTTGAAAGGACCAGCGGATCAATTCCGGGGCTGGTCTTTTCCGCTACTAGGTTGGAGGGCCATCGCTACTAGGTTGAAAGCTATAGGGGTTCTTTCTGCTGTCACTGCTATGCGGGTTCTTCTCCTTACTTGTCTCCCTGTGTGATCTTTGTGCCTGCCGTCCTGCCTTCTAACTTCTCTCGCATGTGTGAGTATTATGCCAATTGTGCTATCATATGCTATCTGCAAGGTCCATGTTAGTGGTATGTTGAAAAAGCTCTGACCTTTCTCTTCTAAATTGCGTTTCATGCATTCATGCACCACAACATCATATTTTGTTTGGTCCGCTCTCACACAACCAGGGCTTGGAGCAAGCAATCCAAGGTTGAGGGTGTCAGGCTGTCCACAAACACAGTGTTCAACATGTTCCGTGTTCCTTCCATGGACCGAACCGATGGAAGATGTCCCGATGACCCTCACCATCTACCTACACCACGTCAGTGTTGCGCCGTAGGGAAGCCAACCTAATAGCACACTATATTATGCCTTTCTTCCTTTTCATTGTTCTTGGTTGTTCGGTAGCGATGGGCTCCAACCTAATAGCAAACTACCCGGTGTTTGTTGCGCGATCTGAACCGAGCACGCTTCCATCGCTGACGCCATCTCCGTTCCATCGCTGGTGTAGCTTTCATCGAGCCCAGTTATGACCAACTTGCAAGTTCCTGCTTCGTTTTGAACAAAGGGTCCTTGTTAAACATTGCCATTGCCAGTAGGTTGGAGGCCGTCGAAATGTGGGTTGGAGGCCATCGCTGGTTTAACAGAGCAAAAAAGGATCAAAAGAACCCCACGAACAATCGAAGCTCAACACAGCGAAGCACGAAGAGCACAAGCCGCATCACACGATGGCGGTGACTGTGGCATGCTACACCATCATGAAACACACAGGTGCCAGAGACCTTGCTAAGCAATGTCCTGACATGGACACACACAGCCAGGCCGGCTCCCATCTCCACTCCGACTCACATGATGCATTTGAGGCTTCACATGGCCTCGCACTTCACAAGAAATACGCCTCGTGCAGACAAGTAGGGCGACATGCCCCCACTTGAAAAATTGATATAGCATGAGGAAATGTACAAACCTCCCTTCCTTTCGTTGAGCTCCATGTGTACAAGGGAGCTCTGAGCCAACGTTCCTCAGAGATCCGAGACTCCTGACAGCATATCGCCTGCAGTGAACAATTTCTCGAGCGGGAGGTAGCCTGACACAGCGAGCGCAGGTTGCGAGCGCAGGTTGCGCAGTAAAGCTATGCGGGTTAAACTATGTGCTTGCTGGCTTTTACCGGTCAAAACGCAGCCGAGTGTTTCGTTCCTAAGAACTACATAACGACATAGCAGTCACCTGACCCCCTGCTTTTTCCACTATTTTTGGAGATTTAGTTTCAGGACGTTAACTTGCAATTCTCAAAACACAGTCACTTTTCAACTCTTCAAACTTGTCAAGGTCAGCATCTGCCTCCTCTCTCACCCGTGCAGCAAGCACGCGGTCCTTGTCACCTCGGAGGCCGCGAGAAGAGGCCAGGCAGATAAGATAGGTAGGTTGAAGTTCTGTTTAGGCGAGCGGTATGGGGGAGGGTAGGTGAAACTAGAGGCTGGTGACCTGGTAGAGAGTAAAAAGCATGATGAACGCAATGTCTTTGTATGAGATCTTTGTGATGCCAGTGATGTAGGAAAGGTGACGTAACTTTTTTTTGCATTATACATTGGCATGATGGCATCGCTTCAGTATGATAACGTATTATGATTCACAGTATTTTCGTTTTAGTTCGTCAAGTCAAGCCATGCGTGAAGTGGAGCCATGCATCCTTTCTGCTCTTTTTTTGAAGGCCGTCTCGGGGCAAACGGGGCACCTCCGAAACATGTGTTCTGGCAACAAAACCCTTGACAAAGCAGGACATGGCATGCGCATCTTCGAGCATTTTAGTTGAATCTTGCGAGCCGCTGCTTGAGATGAATGGGCCATACAGGTATGGACAGAAGAAACACCCCTAAGCCGCATTTCAGGGTTGGTGCCCTTCGGCGCTTTGAGGGCCACTCTCGCACCTCTGGAAAAGCGGGTTCGCACCGCTGCAGGACATCGGACAAAACAGGACGCGGCAGACGTGTATTCGAGATTTGTGAGTGAATCTTACGAACGAAGTGGGTATTATCAGGGGGGGTCTGTGCAGGAGTGTTGGAGACCCTCACTCGCTTGTTGGAGCCTCTTGAGTGAAGCCTGTTGCTCTAAGCGTGTACGGGGGCTGTTTTTCGTTCCTCACTTTCAGGCTTCACTTGGATCTTACATTCTTACAACATTCTTGACATCTTGGAGAAAAATAACATTCTTTTTTGATTGGCTTTCTTGATGTATTCTTAAGTTGGAGGGACATGGAGAGGTGTGGGGGTAGGCCGCGAAGGGAGCGAGAAGGTATGAACAGGAAGGGTAAACCAGGAAGATTGGACGCGTAGCAAAAAAAGAAACACAATTTGCCACAGGAAAAACCAAGACAAAATGAAGAACACATACCTTTGGAATCATTTAGACCTTTCGGTTTAACACTTTAAACATGTTGTATGTCTTGGACACCAAGCCGCTTGAAGAGGTGGAGGTGAAGCCTTGTGACTGGTCAAGTCTGTTCACCTTGGCCGGTGAGCTGGGCACGAAGCAGTCTCAGGTGGGGAAAGAATTGGGAAACACAGTCTCTTTGTGTCAAACATTTGTGTCAAATTTCATTGGCAATTTCAACCTCTACATGACTTTCTGGTAGGTTTTACGGAAGTTGAGGGATGAGCAGGAGGAGTCTTAGCATCCGTTTGCACTGAGATTCCCGTCGACCACCCAAACCAAACAGCTTCTTCGCCGTTGTTGCATTCTTATATGCTTTCGTGAAAGTCGTGCAAAGTATCTTCAACACCTTTGTGTGTCCTGCACAAATTCATCTTCCTGAAGGAGAAACTTCTTCTTCAATGCTCATCGCAGAACACGGTGGCTTCGCCGAGCGTAAAACCGACTTCTGGCACAATCTATGAAGCATTCTTGCAGAGAAGAAGAAAGCATTGTACAGTCTTCTTCATATGTTTTGCTTCTTGATTTTCTGAGGAGAGACGGAGAGGAGAAAGAGGACAAAGAGGAGAAAGAGGAAAGAGGGAGAGAGAAGGGAAAAGCTGAGCCTCGTGCTCCAGGTGATTGGAATTCGTCTCTTTGAAAAGCGATGTGTAACGAAGTGCAAAAAACATGTTTCATTCCACTGTATTTGCTACTAGGACGCTACTAGGGGCTCCTGGCCTTACTACTAGGAGCAAGGACGCTACTAGGAGCAAATGATTTGCATATTCATTCTGTGAGGCCTTCGCAGGGAGGGCAGTGCTCCTGCTTTAAAGCGCTCAGAGGCGAAGAAGGTGGCGAGGAGCGGAGTCCCGTTTTGCTTCGATTTCGGTGTGCAAAAGAACGGTCCGTGAAGGTAAAGACGTGAAGAAACAAGTAAACACATGTTTGGTCTATTATTTTTATGCTTCTTGTTACTAGTACGGCCAGGAGCCCCGTTCGTAGCGTCCTTGCTCCTAGTAGCGATGCCAGGAGCCCCTAGTAGCTTCTTGACAGGGAGATGCATCCCCAGCAATTCAATCAGCGATCCTATCGCTTCTGTAACATGGGTCCACTAGCGCAGCTGCAAGTCTGGTCTGTTTGTGTGTGTGTGTGCAATGAACCACTTGGGCAAAAAACTTGGTACACTTCTCGATTTGTGCGTGTCATCCTTGCGCAGGGGCCATGCTAATCTTCTCTGTATCGTTGCTAGCAGCGAAGCACATGTTTGGTCTATTTTTTAAATATGTGACAGCTGACTTTTAGCGTGTGCACCTTCTTGGACCTCCGGTGAAATTCTTAGTCTTCCAATTGGTGGAATTCTTCTCGCCGTGTGTATGGTCTTGCCGTGTGCTGCTGGGACTTCGTCTTCAGCACGAACGAGCAAATTCATCTGGAGACGCGACCCCTCTCAAAAGGACGCTACTAGGACTCTACTAGGAACAATGCGAGGATTTCAAAACGGCAGCTCAGAGAGGGGGACGATGGCCTCCAACCTAGTAGCAATGGGGACTGCAGGGTTTTATTCATGCCTTTGCTCTATGTCGATTTCGGCCAAAAAGGGCAGCTTGCTTCCAGCATGACAGCTTGACTTTTGAGCCGTCATGCAACCAAGTTTCCCAGCTAGACTTCCTTTGAGTTTACTTGTTTTTGATTTTAAGCAACAAACCAATGCTTCCTTTCACGACTTGCCAACAAGCACACTGTTCACAACAACGGCCCTTAGAAACTCACGCTTTGGCCATACGTGTCATTTCTTTTTCATTCTTTTCAACATATAGTAACAGGAAGGCTGCTGGCCTTACTACTAGGAGCACGCTACTAGGGGCTCCTGGCATCGCTACTAGGAACATTCTTACTACCAGTAACGAGAAGCTACTAGGAGCAAAGGG